TGGGTAACAGTTAATCTGAGAGTGAAAATCTAAGTGTATGTGTATATGTGGTGTATGTTGTTCATAACAGCGTTCTAATTAGTAATGTTGCAGAGAAAATCAAAAAGAAAAAAATACAAATAAAACAAGTTTTTGTGGAAAAAAAATTTTTTTTCTTCTTCGTCGTCTTCTCCTTTAAAAACAAAATAAGCTGTTTGAGCGTCAAACGAAGAGATAAATAGAGTTTTCTTTTACTGAACTTCTTTCTGAGCACCTTACACCTTAAAAGGGTCTTAATAAAACGGGGAGATGGCAGAAAAGAGGAGGGGAGGAGGGGGAGAAGAAAAAAAACAGAAAACAACGGAAAATAAAAAATGACTGTATATTTGTGATGTGCTGTTGTTGTAGCTGTAGGTATGTTTTAAAAGGGATCCCAGAAGAATTTCCAGTTTTCCATACAATATAACGGTTATATTCAGAATCATACTTACCACTTTCTTCCTTCTCTTCTTTCTTCAAATTTTCGCCTCTCCAAACCATAGCGCATCAACCCGCACCCCTCCCTTCTTAGCAGACTTCCAAACCACCCACTTTCCAAAGTTTCAATACCTTCGTCTCCTATTCATCCACCTGCATCCAAACAGCAACATCATCAAAGCCATCTGCAGCAACGACAGCGGCATCAGCATCAACAGCGACTACAACAACAACAACAACAACAACAACAACAACAACAACAAAAAGCAACAGCAACAGCAACAGCAACAGCAACAGCAACAGCGCAACAACAACAGAAAGAACAAAAACAACAATAACAACAATAACAACTTTTGCTCTTACGGATCTTCCTGAAGTTTTTTACTGGTATTATTTTCAACATTACTGAACAATAACCATTATTTATTAATTAGTTCATTAGTCAACATAAACGAAAAATACTGCCTTTTATTTTTGTTCTCTGCGGACACATCAATGTAAGGTGTTGAGAAAGAACTTTGTTGGTTGAATGGATTGAACGCGACAGATAAAACTAACGAAGTCCCTGTTGCCCAATGGACGATTATTTTCATACTTTTGTTATCATTTATTACTGCCCATAAAGTCACTACAAAACTTTCTGAACTTAATACGCTTAATCTTTGTTATTTCAGTTGGACGACTATTTCAACTGGCAGTCTTAATCACTGCTGCCTTCTATTTCTTTTATACTTTATATTTATATTTTTGTTTTCATTTATTTATTTATTTTAAACCTTGATAATCTTCTTTTGCTTAATTGTCGCTTTCATTTTTTCTCTTCTGTTATTTGACTCACAACTTTTCTTTCCGTTAAAATTTTTGTCTTCAAATTCCATTGTAACCTTTACTAGCCTGCCCGTGTATTCTTTTGGGAAAAAATTTTTTCGTACTTCTCTACAAACGGTTGCAGTTAACGGTTAAATAGAATAACCAGAATTTTGAACATTTTTTTCAACACTTGTATTGTTAATTCCTGGTATCCAGCCAGATAGTGGAAAATGGTCCACCCAGTTTCCCCCTCCTTTAAAGAAAAAAAAAGTTTGAAAACTTTTTGCTGATTAGACTATTCCAGTCCATTAACAGCTGAAAGATCTGGATTTTTTAAAGTAAACAAAGAAAAAATGATGTCTGCTAGAAAGCTTTTCTCCAGCCAGTGAATCACTATAATACTTTAACAAAATTAGAATTTTTTAAAGTATTTACAATCTTCCATTGGTTTCGGCTGCTATATGTACTGGGATAGGGTCAGTACGGCAAAATATAAAAAGCAGTCAAATCCTATGGCATCCTTTTATTTTGATTACGTAATTCCGCTGACTAAGTTTTGAAAAATTGCAATTTTTTTTGTTCAAAAGAACGTTTAAACGGAAAGGAATTTTCGGGGGCCCGACGTGAGTCCTTCGTGTGTGTTTGTGTGTGTGTGTGTGTGTGTGTGTGTGTGTGTCTGTGTGTCTGTGTGTCTGTGTGTGTGTATGTATGTATGTATGTATCTCTGTGTATATGTATGTGTTCGTGTGTCCGTGTGTTTGTCCGTGTGTATCTGTATTTCCGTGTCTGTGTGTCGATGTTAGTTCCTAGATAGGCAGATATACTTATATGTAATAATTGCTTCTATTTGTACGTCTGTGGTTATGAATTGGGCATAATGTAATGCGGTGTTGCTCGTGTGATGCATGCTGCCCTGGTACACGTAGAAATACACAGACACACATACATATGCGTACGAACAGACACAGACATACAAACACACACACACCTTTATCGGCCTTTTGAAATCAATTTCCTATACATTTTGATGGCTTAAGACGGAAACCCAATCGAGCCACTACCAGCAACCGGTTTATATCGTCTGTCTTCTGCGGCAATGACTTGCGAAGCATAAGCGTTTATCGTCGATGTCGTCGTTGTCGTCAACACTTACACAAATTACTTTCTCTTCACCTCCCCTCCTTCTAACACTATCCCCCCCTAAAAAAAACCTACTTCTTCTCCTCTTTCTTTTCACCTACTTCCTACCTCCCCTTAATACAGAAACGTTAGTTGCGCTAACGCTATAAATGGTAAAAGACGATTTTTATGAAAAGTAAAAGCGCTCTGTGTTGTTTGATGTTCTAGTTGATAATTGCAGTATTTCTCTGGAGTAACTCTCATTCACTGTTTACTCCAGCAGTGTTCCACCTACGAATTAATCTACCTAACAGCAACGGCAAACGAACTGCCGGTTACATTTGAGCTTGCTCTGCTACTCTGCAGCCCATCCTATAAACTAACTGTCTGATCGGGCAACAGGACAAACGCTGTGTTGTTCAACTATATTTGACAAAAAAAAATACAGAGAACAGACCAAGTATACAGTAGAAAGAAGGGACAAGAAATACAAACAGAGAAAATAAGAAGAAATCAAAGTTGATTTAACGATCATCAAGTAATAATCGTTCCCATTTAGATTTCAGGCGGTGTCTAAAGTCAATGTGCTTTCGCACAGTAACTTTGTTTGAACATTCAAGAAGATTTTTTTTTGTTTTGCAGCATAACAAATCTTTAAGGAAATTCTGTGGACAACTTTTGTTAGCTTTTATTGCCGTACAGCTTCTTTCACTGAAATGTTGTGGTTCAGATCCCAGTTGTTGACTGTTGTAATAGTCGTTAGCGTTGTTGTCGCTGTCGTTGTTACTGTTGCTGTAATTGTTATTTGTGCTGCTGGCGTTGTTGTTTCTCCCAAAAAGGCAGTATTTTTTGTCGGAAGGTAAAGGACAAGCTGAACAATAGCAATTTGAAATCTAAATCTCAATAAATATGAAAGCGAATCTGTTTATGGCCGCGGGGCAACTAACGTTTGCCTGGGTTGACATATAGGCAGATAACTGTGGCGCTAAAGACAGGTCATACTTTAGACTGTTTATCTGTTTTTGTTTGTAAACAGCTTCCCAATTTGATGGTCAGTGGTAGAAACTCTCTCAATTTCGACACTACCGAAACAGTTTCGTTTTTGGTTCTGTAACCAGCGATGTCTTTAATACGTTCCACCTAAAACCAATCAGATCAACTTTCCATCAAAAATCGGCTGGCTTTTCCGCTAAAAATTTTCTACTTGAAAACACACTGGTTAAGTTTCTTCTAATTACATCATCTCTTTGCATACAGTTTTTTGAAAAGAGAGAAAGTGAGAGAGAAAAAAATTTTTCTTTCGCTTAAAAACGTCTTTAAAAAAGATCATAAACTTAAGGACTTGTAGAAATTTTTTCATACCTTCTCTTTTCACTGTTGCTTTACAAAAGTCTCAAGTCTGGTAGTTTAGCTTTCCAGTAATCAAAAGAAATTTTTTAATCGTTCTTTTCTTTCCTCTTCTTCTTCTTCTTCTTCTTCTTTAATGTCAATGTTTGTTATGGTGTCTTTTTTCTTTGTTTTTTTTTTAACATCTCATCACGGTTTAATGAAATTTTGATAAAACTATGACAGCCAGCTGTACTAGATAACGTCTAGGAATTAGTTGTAGAGAAGACGAAAGACTAAAGACAAAAAAAGATTAAAAAGCTTTTTTCTTGTTAAGCTCAGCTTTTTTCTCTCTTTTCTTTTCTGCTTTTTCAATAGGCTGAAATATAGCTAGGAAAATGAAAAGAGGAGGATATAGAGAGTGATATCCTTTTTTCTGGATGATGATAATGATGGTAACGACGCCGAGGAAGACAACAAGAACGACGAAAATGACGGTGGAAAAAGAGCTCGTTGGACAGGGAATAAGCATTTGGGAAGGTCTTTCTTACCAACCAAAGGAATAACGAAGCGTGAAAAAAGGTGAACAGAGGAGAGACGAGGCAGCCGAAGACGGCGAGGTGATTTCAATAAGCATTTCTGCGGAAGCTATTCCGAGGCATCGCCCGCGGCCATCGCAATTACCATTTGTTTCAGATTGGAACCTGTTTGTCACCATAACATTAACTTATTTGGCCGCTCCTCTTGCCACATTCTGTTCGCTCTTCCCCAGGTACTTCTTGTACTGCTTAAGCGTCTTTCCTCGTCAGTCATCATCCCTTCCTCCTTTCACTCCTTGCTCGCTCTCTCTTCTGAAACGTTGGATGCCCCAAAACGTTTATTTTTACAGAACCTGCTGCAATCTGGAATACAACTGGCGTCGGTGAAGTAATTTTAAAACCAAGATTTGCATTAGCTGAAGTAATATTTTTGTTATCGTTTTTGTTGTGACAATCTCTTAACGTGTTGTCTTTTGCACTTTACGTATGCTCCAATTTGGTAGTAATATCAATCAGCCAACGACGGAAACAACTTTTCAATTTTTTTTTTAATTTTGAATTTGTTGATAGAATTGTTAATGATGGTGATGATATTGCTGCTGTTGCAACTGTTGCTAATAATGAAAACAAAGTTGGAAATTTATTTCAATAAAGAAAAAAAATTAGTCTTAAAAAAGTTTTTATATATTTTTTATTGTCAAAATCGGCTGAAGGACTATTTATTTTTTAAATGTATTTATTTGTTGTATCGGTTGATTTTAATTAAGCTTCTCTTTAATTTATTTAAATCAGTTTTGCTTTCTGTGTATTGCTTAATGCTCAAACACGATTTGCTTGAAAATTTGCTTTATTTTTTATTTATTTAATTATTTTATCTTATTTTATATCAGTTTATTCATTTTCTTTCTTTTTTTCTTCTACCACTTTTTCTTCCCTTTCTTTTTCTTCTTCTTCTTCTTCCTTGTCTTCTCCAGTTTCTCCTAACTGCTACAATTCTTCCTAATGAATTGAACAGCACAAAATTAATATAACATTTATTGTAGGAAAGCTAGAAAGGAACAACAAAAGAGAAAAAATTTTAAAAAAGATTTTTTTGTATTTTTTTCCAAAGGAATATGCAGGGCACTTAAATGGAAAAGTGTGTACTGCGCTGTACAGATCTCGATTATTCAATAAATGAATAATCCATGAGAAATTGAAATAACCTACCGATTTATGCCGCTTATAATCAATTCCAAAACATACAGTCAAATCAGTTTTTTTTCCCGAGCGATCTTGTTTTACTGCGTGTTCTTTTTTGCATCCAACTTTCAGTCACCCTTCCCCCTTCTCAGAACAACTGGTATCTGCCTAAAAATCCATTAAAAATTTTTGCAGATTTTTATGAATTCATCTGTATTTGTAGTGTACCACAGTTGTTGTGTCGTCCAGATGATAATTTTAAAGGTTAAATAAAGAATAAACTGTACTTTTAAAAACTGTGGTATGGTAATTATTATTTAAGGATGGAAAGAAGGTTGAAAGAAACAGACTTAAGTCATTGCTTTTTTTTTGTTGCATACCAATCTTAGTAACCTTCTCACTCTTGTTTTTTTTTTTTCGCTGTTTATCTGATTCATCCGTAGACGGGTTTTTGGAACGTTCCAAACAACCTCGAAAAGGGGGAGGACTTAAAAAATCTTATGTCACATGTCCAGGTAAACTATCAAATGATGGCTTACCAACAAAAGCGATTGATGTTTGTTTAATGTTTATCGTCTTCAACAACAAAAACAACAACACCGGCAACAACAACAACGACAACAACAACGACGACGGCGACGACAGCAACAACAACGATAACAACAACAAATACCAAACAGAGTCGAAACCATAAAAAGCGTCCCTCAAGAAACTGTTTATCCGGTTATAGTTTTGTCTGTCTGTATCTTTCGCTTCCTTTCGCTTATCAACTGAACCAAAAGAAAAATATTTTCTTCTTCTAATTGCTCTTTCTCAACACCTTTTAATGTGACTGAAAAATCGAAGAAAACATTTTGGTTACAACAACACAAATTCTTCCAGTTTTTAATCTTTGTTTTCAGATTATTTTATTGAAGCAATGTCTATCCGTAAAAGCGTTAAAATAGAACCAAAAAAAAAATTTTTTCTTCGATATTTAAGAAGGGAAATCTTTCATTTCAATCATATCAAAATTTTGAACATTTCACTAAAAATAAGCGTTGCTGTTGTTGTTTCTCCAAGTTGCAAAAATGACGTTATCAGAGTGGTTAAACTTGTTTGTGCAACAGATTATAATAGGATGAGATTTCAGGTGTACGGTAAATATCGGTTGTCTATACGTTGTGTGTCTCTCTATACGTATATATGTATATATGTATGTCTGCGCATAGAGAGTTACCGTTGTGAATCCAATCGAATCTCTTCTTTACAGCTTCTCCCCGGCCCTCCCCCCTCCTACTCTCCTCGCAAATTCCCCTCCTCTGCTCCGACTCTTTACCTGTATTCAAACAAGGCGTGGCTAGCTCATCAAAATGGGCGGGGTCATATTTTTGTGTTTCAATCTTCGCTATTTACCTGTTTGTTTGCTGCAGCGTGCAATCAAAAGCAGCTTCTCAACGGCTTTTCATCTTGCTTCTTGCTTTTTCTTCACTTCCCATTCAGTCATTCATTCATTCATCCGATCAATTTGAAAATAATATGTAGGGCTGATTAAAGAGGCCCTGTAAAAAGAAAAAAAAAACTAGAAAATGTTTCAACAACTCAGGAATGATTCTAAGGGAAGAAGGAGGGGGGTGGCAGTAGTAGTTGGGTTGGAAACAGCAAGCAGGAAAAGTGAAAAGGGTTTTGTGGTGGTGGTGGTGTTGCGGTACATAAAGCTCCTCCGATATCGCTGTGCCCAATCGACAGTTATCTTTTTTTCGGCATTACTCTCGTTGTCTGATAATGTCTCGTTCTCTATCTATCTGTTTCTCTGATCTCTGTTCCTCTCTTCGAGGTGTTCTATCATAGCCTCCCGTCTTCTACATTTTGCAGCTATTCCAGCCAAATATCACTTCTGAATAGCCGACGTCTTTTGGTTTCGGTCAGGGTTCCATTTTTTTCGTCGTTTTTTTTTTTTTTTTTTTTTTTTT